GATTAATTAGATATTAATTTTGATCATGTATGCATGTGGAATCAGATTAAAACAGTATGTATGTTAATGAGGATTTTAATTGTTGTATCTTGAATTTTCTTGCATTAATACTTGTTTTAATTGGTATTTATAATGCATAATGGATTTAAATAATTCTTTGGAATAATCTGGGACCTAGTTCAGACTGTTAGGGACCTTAACATAAACGTACAAAATCATTGGAAGTCGCCAGAGATGAAACAGACGATGCATGGCAAGGGAAGAGGCGGCTCCCATTGCAAAGAAGCGGCTCCCTCTTGTAGGGAGCCGACTCTACTTAGTGGGGAGGCGGCTCCCTTAAGGGGGGAACTGGCTCCATGATGGAAGGAGGCGGCTCATTCCCTGTGTGTTGGGTTTTGACGACTTTTTGGCCACAGTGCTTGGGTTTTGGGGTTCCAGATTGATTTAGGAGCTTCCATGGGGGATTTAAATGATTTATAAGAATATACTAAAATCCCAGAGTGTGTACTGATGCATAATAAACCTAATAGTGCAAAGAACTTGAACAATATGAGATTTTCAAATAAATTTGCAAATTGTATTTGGTTTGGATTATTTAAATTGCTTAACTCTACACTAGCAATTTTCTATGTATGATTATATAGTTTTTAATTATGTATTTGCGGCATAATATAATCATGTTAATTTACATATTTTTATTATCCTTATTGTGGATTAATTGAAGTTTAAATTTATTATTTAAATCATCAATTATTGGATTTGTGGATTTTATGCATCGGTATGGGACGATGGCATATTATGAACAGATTAGCTCAAAACGCTAAGTCCTACCTATTCTGGAATAAGGGAATGGATTAACTATAATGTTAAGTCCTACTTATAATTTGTGTCAGGTCAACGAACAGTTGAATGACATTACTATGGTTTTGGATGGATTTATATACATATAATTATGGTGCCATGATATGAACTTAAGTCTCAGGATCATAGTTAGGGTGCGTATATTGCCTAGGATGGATACTGGATATGGTAGACATCTTGGTGCCCTGGTAGGTCTAGATATACATGCCCACTTTATATGCGATTTGCATGTTACCTTCTATTCAATTTGAGATAGACATATAGTCCTGTGAGCGTCCTTAGTGTCTATTTATATATATATATAGACTATTTAGCTATTGTTGAGTTGTTTAGGACGTATATGTGTATCGGGACTCTATTTAGATTGTATTAGAGTAGAACTTATTTGTGGGTCTGACCCACTGTTATTTTTTAGGTATTCGACAGTTCCAGTCTTAGAGCTTGTTCGTGCTGAGCACAGACACTCACTCACTCTTTCGACTATGTAGGGTTTTCCTTCATGCTTTAGTTTTGGATTTTCTTTCAGTTCAGTTTTATTTTCCACTTAAGATAGTATTAGGGGTCCACTAGATGGATTCCCGAGTTGTAATAATATTGGAGGTTTTGGAATATTGGATTATTTTATTATTATTTCAAGGATTTGTTGTTTAGTTTTCCTTCAGCTTATTTATTCTTTTATTCTATTATTTCTTTTGTACTCAATGCTTGATTATATATTTAATTGTTTAGTATCCCTCAGATTTGTGCTCGGACTTGATCACCCGTGGCTCTAGAATTGAGGGGTATCACAGCCATAACTCCTTCATTTTAAATCCAAACGGGGTCATTCTTAAGCCCAAATTGATAAATTTTTTGTCAGCTTTCCAATGGTACCATTCCCAATTTCAAATTCCAATTAAACTGAGAGTTATAGATGTTTTAGTGAGGTAGTGTCAGAAAATCCTACAAACTGAAAAGAGGTATTTGTGGGAAGCCATGACTAACTCCCTGAATGTCATGGAGACTAGAATGGATTTTATTTAGGCTCAAATTATTCCTCTTTTATGTAAAATGACCATTTTACCCCTAGAAAGCTTAGGAAGTCTAACATGAACCTAAGGTTGTATCTTTCGCCTTCTCATGGTCCTGTATGATTAGAAATGAACAATACGACTTCATTTTGACTCCTAATGCATTACAAGGTTCATAATGACTATTTTACCCTTGGTGTCCTCGGGTCGGCTTATGTAGTGTCCTGAATTTTTTTAGGTTTTTTAAAATTTTTATTTTATTTATTTTATGTGCATCGTTTTGCGTGCCGCACGGGTCCCAAGGTCTGTTTAAGTCATTTCTCAAGCTAGGGGTTTTAGAAATGCTTTTTTTTTTATGTATTTTAAGTCATTTAAAAGTGACAGAATCATTTTTAGAATTTTTCGAAAGTCAGGATGATTTTCAGGCTCGAGAACTTTGCCATTTGCATTGAGGGGCATTGTGGTCTTTTTGCACACATATACATGTATCTATATATTAGAGGATATATTTTAGGGACTTGGATGGCATTGTAAAGGATGAAGGAGGGCAAGAGGGTAATTTACTTAGAGTTAGTAATCAACCACAAGATGACACTTGGCATGTTTTAGTCCATGGAACCAAATGTAAGATAAGGCCATCACCCCTTTTTTTTTGTTTCCCTGAGTGGCGTATTTTATAAACAAAAATAAGCATTACAAGTACATAAAGAGGCATACCTCCTTTTATAAATCAAGAACTAGAAAAAACCCATTTCCAGTACATAGCGGAATAAGTCCAGAAAAACTTCAACAGTAAGACAAATTAAAAACAATAAGTAAATCTTCTAGACTAAGTATGAGGTATGACAAAACCTCCCAAATAGTAGATTGTGCAACATATATTGCTTGATCCTGAATTCCATTATGCCGAGCTACATTTCTAACAATCCAGATTTTCCAAATAACTGTAGAAAAAATAGCACTCAGCACCTTTGATTTGGTAGAATTGATGGTAGTGTGCAGACCAACCATTCTACTAGCTGTATCAAAGAAGTATAAATAGGCTAATCCATTTGCAGCAAAGAGAACAAACCATGCCAAACAGTTTTTGCATAAACACGCATACAGAATAGGTGGTCATTTGAATCATCATTCCTCATGCAATTATGACAGATAGCAGTTAAACTGATAATTCGTTTCCATAGATTCACCAAAGATAAATTCTTATTGTGTAAAATTATGCAAACCACCACAGCAATTCGAGATCTATAATGTTTCCAATAGATACAAGTTCAGAATTTGGCTTATATATCTACATACCTCCCAAGCTGCTTTCAGAGAGAAAGCACCTTGCTTCCAACCTATGAGATCAGAACCAGTAAAAATTCTTATTATTTGAGTGTCAATGAAAACCTTATCAGGGAGATAAGCAGACCTTTCACATCTACCATTATCAATGATATCTGCCACTAAGATTTGTCTATCTACTTATCTAAGCAATGTTGCCCCAAATTTCTAAATTAAAGTTTGATTCTCACACCAAAGGTCTGCGATCAGCTTAAACTTCATCTCATCTCCTATCCTAAAATTAGCATTTTGTAAAATCAATTGCCAGACCCCTAAGATTTGTTTCCAAATAAGAGAACCAGTAGTTTTTGGAACCACACTCCAAAAAGGTATTCTTTTTAAATACATTGCATGCAGCCACATGATCCACATCTTGTCCGTCTTCTGCACAAAATCTCAGCAAAGAGACATTTTTGTAGCCACATCAATGTCTTGAATTCTTCTAATGTTGAATCCACCCTCTTAAACTGGTAATGTAACTTGGCTCCATTTTAGTTGAGACATTTTCTTTACATCTTGTTTCCACTCCATAAGAAATGCTTAAACCTCCTTTCCAAACCAATCTTGACCTCCCGTGGTATTTTAAAACCAAACACCCAATGGTACACGTAAGAATATAAGACTGATCTAAGCAATTCAATCATCCCTGCAATAGACAAATTAATAGTGTTCCAGTGAACCAACCTCCCATTAATCTTATCTAGCAGCATTCTGAATCTACTAGATCTCAAATTATTGTTAAACAAAGGTAACCCAAGATATTTAAAGGGAAAGTTTTCAGTCAGAAACTGTAGTATATTGGATATCCTTCTTCTACCTCTAACTAATTTGGAAAAGATAATTGTACTCTTCTTTTTGTTTACCTGCAAACCAATAGCCTCCTTGAATTGTTTGAACACATCATCAATGGCCTTGACAGTTGGTTTGTCAGCTTTTACCACCATTAAAAGGTCATCTGCATAAAAAGTGTGGGATATCTTCATATGTGCCTATGACACAGCCTTTGAAATCTTGATCTTAGCCTCCTTAATAGCATAAGCCATCTGAGTACTAAAATATTATGTGACAAAAAAAAATAACGGCGATATGGGGGAGGATGTCAGACCCTCCTCCATGCTGAGAACAAACCCCCTCACGTTGTAACCCTAATCCCTTGTGTCGCCCTAGCAACAACAGAAGAAAGGCAAAACAATAATTAAAAATTTAATTCAAATACAAGTGTGCCATCACCCCATTTCTTTATCATTCTTGGCCAAGACTCTCTTTCTCTAACCCTTCTTTTTCTCTCTATATCTATCTATGTACACAATGTCTTCTATACTTTAAGCTTAAATTTGAGAGGTTTAGAGTGAGAGTTTGATGATAACCAAGAAGAAGAAGTTAGAGAGCTTGGAGAGGGCTTCCATTTGAGACCAATATTGCAAGGTCTAATAGAATTTCAAATTGGGTTTGGCTAAAGCCATGTTTGGTTGCACACAATTGAGGTAAGGGTTGTTTAATGCTTCAAACTTTGTCTTTGTTTGAGTATTGCTATGTGATTTCACCTAAATCCATTCTTTAATGTAAATATATAAATTATAATGATAATGATGTGATGTAAGCATGCTAGAAATTAATGTATAGATGAATTTTTCCTATACTAATGAAATGCTTATTGTTGCTTGATTGCAAGATTGCTTGTTTGCATTTAAATGATTGCATGATTGAGATGAGGTGAATCGTATAGGGCCTGTTTGGTGGCTGCTTCTACCATATATTTTTTGCTTTGGGCCAGTTACTGTAGCAAAATTATGGCCAAGCATGTTTGCTAAAAACTGCTATGCTTCCAAACAGGGCCGAATCACTTCCTAAAATGGGCCGTTTTTTAGAAGCATCAAAATGATGCTTCTTGTTGCTTTCTGCACTGTAAGGATAAAATGCTTCCTGCACTATAGCCCATTAGTGGAATCATTGGGCCCAAAATACTCGAAGCAATATTCCATAATCCAGCCACAAATCTTGAAAGCAAACGAGAGCAAACCCTAGGGCGATTCGGAAGCGGTTCCATTATGCATAGAGCTTCGACCATCCCGTCGCTACAAACGACGTTCTTGCAGGCTTTGATTGGTAAAAATACCTTCATTCTATTCTTGTTCCTCTTCTTCTTCGTCTTGATGGTATGTTTTTCATATTTCGTGTTGGTTTTTCTGCTTCGATCTGAAATCCAAGTACTTAGGGTTTCAGTTTTGTTACTTGGATGAGTTTTTTTGTCATGTTGTATAACATTTTGGGTCGACTTTGTGCTTGGATCTGGAAACCGTACTTCAAAAATTCAAGTTTTGTCACTTCGATTCAGATTTTATTATCTTCTGTCTTCTTTTGGGTTGAATTTGTGCTTGGATCTGAAAACCGTACTTCAGAAATTCAAGTTTTGTTACTTTGATTCATATTTTTTTATCTTGTGTATAATTTTGGGTTTAATTTCTGCTTGGATCTAGAAACCGTACTTCAGAAATTCAAGTTTTGTGGGTATATTGCACTGACCATACTATTTATGGTGGTTGTGATGTTATTCTTGCTCATTGTTGTTGTTGTTGAGAAATAATGTGTGTAATATATTTACATATGATAACTGTGACACTCATATGATATGTTTTATTTTTGAACTGTAATATTTTGATTTTAGTAGCTTATGCTTTCTTTTAGGTTTATAATGTTACTTTAATAAATGAGTTGAACATGGTTATGGTTATTCTTTGCTTGTTGCTGTTTGGAACAAGTCTGAAAAAAGGTATTTAATTTTTATGTTTTTGCCTTTAAGTTGTTATACATTGTGGGATGACTGAATGCAACAATGCTATTTCTGTTATTTGTTTTTTTTTTTTTTTTTTTTTGTCGGTAATGCTATTACTTCTACTGAGTTGAACGTGGTGGTGGTTATTGAGTTGTTGTTGTTTGCAACAAGTCTGAAAAAAGGTATAGTTTTTTTATTTATTTGCCTTTAACTTGTTATACACTGCGGGATGACTGTATGACAATGCTAATTTTCTTATTTATTTTTTTGTGGGTAATGCTACTACTTCTACTAAGTTGAACATGGTGGTGGTCTTAATTTGGTTGCTGTAGTTTGCAATAAGTCTGAAAAAATGTATACTTCATCTATTTTTGGCCTTTAAGTTATTATACACTGCAGGATGATTCTATGCCAAAGCTAAATTTCTTATATTTTTTTTTATTTATGGCTAATGCTACTACTTCTACTGAGTTGAACATGGTGGTGGTCTTAATTTGGTTGCTGCTGTTTGCAACAAATCTAAAAAAAGTTATACTTTATCTATTTTTGGCCTTTAAATTGTTATACGCTACAGGATGACTGTATGTCAAAGCTAAATTTCTTATTTGTTATTTTTTTTTTTTTTTTTTTTTTTGTGGGTAATGCTACTACTTCTTTTGAGTTGAACATGGTGGTGGTCTTAACTTGGTTGTTGTTGTTGGCAACAAGTCTGAAAAAGGGTATAGTTCTTCTATTTTTTGGCCTTTAACTTGTTATACACTGCGAGATGACTATGCCAATGCTAAATTTCTTTTTTGTTTTTTTTTTTTTTTTTTTGTTGGTAATGCTACTACTTCTACTGAGTTGAACATGGTGGTGGTCTAATTTAGTTGCTGTTGTTTGCAACACGTCTGAAAAAATGTATACTTCATCTATTTTTTGACCTTTAAGTTGATATCTACATATATTTTAAATGGTACAAGTTTGAGATTTCTAATTGTTGTTGATGGTTGAACTTTAGTTTGAGTTGGCTGAATGATAAGGTTTACAACACAGTCATTTTTCATGTCAAGATTTATAGGCCTACATGCTTTGCACTTTGAACTTTGTCTATTATATCCTACAATTACATCTTACCTACCAAAGTATTAGCATCAACATCTTTTAGAAGTCTCATTATTCTTAAAAGACCTTCAAAGTTTGCCTAAGAAAGTCGACTGTATGTATTTGTGTGTGTGTGTGTGAAAGGGAGAGATAGAGAGAGGGGTTTATGATCTATGCAGGTACATTCCAAAGTAATTTTATGATCTATGGGGATACGTAATTTTATGTTACCAAGAAACAGGAACTTGGATTCCCACCATTTGACTACTCAACCATACAAAAAATTTTATCTTTCTATTTTTGGGTTGTTCTTCATACAGCTATTCTGCTACTAGTAGTATGTAGTGGTTTGAAATTCACTCTATTTACTTTGGCTGACATGTATATGTTTTTGTGATTTTGATGAGGAATATTCTTCACTCACGAACTGCCAATCATTTTTTATGTTACATTTGGTAGAGATGAATGGAGATGATTCAGAAGGATATAGCTGAGGTTGAGAAGGTGGCTACACGTCTAACAGGAGATCTCAAACTCTACTGTGTTTCTAGAACGTGTAATGTTGTTGACTAGAAATTTTGTAAATGTTCAACAGGGAATTTGGAACTTTTATTTCAAGACACTAAGGATAACGTTACAGTAATTAGATGATGTGTTTTCCCTGGGATTATTTATAGGGAGGATTTATTCCCATATTTTGTTAACATTGTTGATACATGCCTTAATATGCCTTAATATGACACTTAAAACTTGTATTTTTAGATTTACAATATGGTGGGTTGGATGCAATTAAGATTCTGCAAAAACTATTATTGTATGTCGATGTTATAGGATGAAGCAAATCATTTGTATTGTGATGTATATATATGCTACACTTGTTGGGAACCAGCTTAGTTCTTGGACATTGGCCTTACTAATTCAAAATTGGTGTTCTCGTTCATAGGAAGACATCAAAGTGTTGTGTTGTGACCTACCACTACAAGAAAACTGAGATGATTTATAAAAAAAAAAAAAAAAAAAAAAAAAAAAAAAAAAAAAAAAAAAAAAAGAATTCATCTCTCTACGTTAATAATTTTTTTCTTTCATTTTTTTTCCCTCATTTTTTTTTCTTATTAACCATGTTAAACTCACGTTTAAAGAAGGAAAAAAAGAAAATACTTACGTTAAACTCCACGAGTGAACACATTTCCAGGATTTTTCTTCATGGACTCCTTTCAGTATTTCTTGGAAAATGTTTTCTGAGTTCATTTTTTTTTTTTTTTTTTTTTTTTTTTTTTTTTCTTCAAGCGGATGGTTGCTTGTATTTAAGAACCTCCTTCACGGGTTGTGGTTTATAACGATATATCAAAATGGACTTGAAGGTTTTTTGTGTTTCAACTTTATTTATACTTATTGCACTTGTTAACAATTATTTTAAATTTTTGTATTCAGCTCATTTTAAAAGTTCTCAACACCACACTTGTCCAAATCTTGATTTATACTAATATATACACTTCTATTTTACAATTTTTGTTAGTTGTTGAATTACATTTTTACAAATTTTTCATATTATTTTTATAATTTAATATTATTATAAATAATTTTAAATAATAAAATACATAAATACAAACCGTCATTGCCAAAAAAAAAAAAAAAAAAAAAAAAAAAAAAAAAAAAAAAAACAATTCACAATATTGACATTACCAAACATGTTTTTTATTGCTTGTTTCCAATATTTCACAATACTAACGTTACCAAACATGTTTTGATGTTTTTGCTTCCGAAGCATGGACGTTACCAAACATGTTTTTATGTTTTTGCTTCCGAAACATGGATGTTACCAAACATGTTTTCATGTTTTTATCTTTCAAAGTATGAACGTTACCAAACATGTTTTTGCTCCCGAAGCATGGACATTATCAAGCATGTTTTATGTTTTTACTTTCTAAAATCTTACAACAAAGAGACGTTACCAAACAAGTTTCAAAACAGTATTCAACACACTCTAAAAGCAAAAACATTGATTCTGCTTTAGGTCAAAGTAAAAGTACAAAGCAACTGTGGTTGCCAAACAGGCCCATAGTGAGCATGCTTGTATCTACATTATGGTTGTGTTTAATATCTATGAAATGGTGTTTAATATGTATGAAATGCCATGCTTGTACCTATCATATAAAGAATGTCTTGTTGATGTCATTACTATTGTATAATTGAGAATTGAAGTTGAATTTATGCAATTGAATTATATGCATGGCATGGTGGGGAGTTTGAATGAGAAGAACATTGTACCATTTTAAAATGGTGAGGAAGTTGAATATGATTGACAAGTAAGCCATCTTAGAATAGGCGGGAAAGAGAAAATTTAAAAATGGACCGGGTTTCGCGAGCCCGGTGCTAACTTGACCTAGAAGGAGTGGTCCGTTGTAGGACGTGTAACGTTGGTACTAGGCCCCAAATGGTTGCCGGATTTAGAACTAAGGATAATATCAATCTCACCTCAGTAAAGTCAGTTAGCGTAGGTGGGGACCAAGCTTGGGAATGGTTATGCATTGCATAGCATTTACTTTCATAGTGCGTAAAGTTGTATCTATGCCATTGATTGAATTGAAATGTGGTGTAAATTTCGTAAAATCCCCAATGTATGATCCCAGTCTCTTTTATTCCCAATTTCTTATGTGTGGCTCAAGAGAGTCCAAAGTTGGCACCATAGGCATCTTCTACTGAGCCTCCGCGCTCACCCATACCATTAACATTTTTCAGGTTATGACAACGATGTAGTTGATGATAAACCCTCGCATGCATAGTTAAGGTTGAAGAGAGCATTTTTTTAATACTTTTGTAGCTAAGGCATAGTATATGTATATTTAATTGTAAAGCATTGTAATTGTGACCCTAAGGGTCAAAATTTGTATATTTGCACTCTTTCGAGCATGTAAATAACGGCATGATAGTAATGTTTATTCTCGTTAACTATGTAACTTTAAAATGAGTTAGAGTTAATGTTATATTAGAAATTGATGTATCGACCATATTTCTTTTGTTGTTTATTGACGAAGCCTCTTGATATACGCCAAAATAATGTAGTGAATGTGCGGTTCAAGAAAAGCCTTTTTGGTCAAGTTTAAATTTATAAAAATCACTACCACCACTACTACTAATGCAACAAGAGTGAGTAGGGATCGTCCCAAGGGATTATAAGTGTTGGAATTTAACTTTAACTCTAGTAGATCACAATATTACAAAGGAGAGATTGATTGTTTGATTACACTACGATGCAAAGAAATCAAAATGCAATTAAAATGAACTAGTGAGAGATAGGGATTTAAGAGATATGAAGAGAAGTCTTAGGGTGTTGGAATCACCACTAAGCTCGTGTAATTAACCACTTACTTTCCATTAATGGGGAATACATTATTGTGAACAAAATGTGACTACCAATTGCAATATTAAGCATAGACCATCAAATTCATGTATGAATTGTCTACCTAACCAACAAATAAACTAAGTGTAGAACAACCCATCAAATCTAAGCATGACCCATCAAACTAGTCACAATTGTAACACACATCAATCTAGAGAATCATGAAATTTGCAATAATAAGCCATGGAATATCAAATCAAGCACAGATTGTCTATCTACCTACAAGCATGAATTAAATTGTAGAACAACCCATCAAGTGTAAGAATAATTCATCAAATTAATTGACAAACCCATTAAATGAAAATCCATGTTTAACTATCACTAGATTTTCAATCAACCACACATAGACATGCAATTAATATAGAAAAACTAGTGTAGAGATTAATTCCCAAATAATCACACATAAGACAACATGTAATCACAAGGAGAATCAATAGGAAGAATTAAACCATATGAATCATGTGAGACATAATTCCCAATTTAATCACACATAGACATGTAAATAAACTAGAGAATTAATAGGAAGAATTAAACCATAGAAATCATAGAAATATACCAAGATTCATGAAATTCACAATATTATAACACTAATCACAACAATATATATAAATCCCCAAAAATAGAAATACAAGGGTTTAGATTACACAAGACTCAGGGCTCATCCAAGCCCTAAGTGTAGATCTAGCCAATCATGGAGGAGGTGGATGTGGTCATGGAACCCTCAAAGGTAAACTCCAAACATGGCTCCATCTTCTTCTTCCTCTTCTTCTTCTTCTTCTTCCTCTTCTTCTTCTTCTTCTTTTAAGCTCTAGAGAGAGAGTGTGTGTGGATCTTGAGATAGATCTAGAGATGTGCCTCCACTTCCCTCTTTTCTTCTAACCCTAATCTCTAACTTTCTAGAGAGAGAAACTAATGAAAAACTAGAAATTACAATGAAATAATAATGGGTCTTTACAAGAATGGTTGAATCCCTCTTATATACAAGGCTTTGAGGGGCCAAAAATATGAGAACTCAGCCCTATAATCTGTTCTTTGAAGCACGGCCCGAGTTGGGGCGAAATGAGATTCAGATCTGCTTTTTAATAACTTTCGCGAACGGTTCGATCGATCCAACTTTTATTTTCGATCGATCAGAGAAAGTTCGATTGATCCAACTTTTGATCGATCTGGTTCGATCGATCTCAGAAATAAGTTGGATGGATCCAACTTGGCAAATTTTCAACATCAGCCTCCTTTCTCTCCAAATTCTCACTAAAGCTTAGTTTGACTCCAAAAAGGTTGTAAGAAGCCATTTTTAGCCCGTTTTTACATTATTGACCTGAAATAGACAAAAACACAAATAAGTACTAAAACGGGTAAATAAAGATAGATGAAGGACTAAAATACCCTCGCTTAAGGGGTTTAAATGCGCACTTTTCAGCGCTCGTCATTTATGCTTGCTTATGAGTTGGGATAGGGGTATTAGGGTCAAGAAGACCAAAATTTGGCTCAAGGACGGGATCGGAGTCGAAAAAGGGGCGAAATACCCATTTCTGGGCTTCTCTGAGCACTCTATGCTCTGTTGCGAGCACTCGACGCGCGCGCTGGGATGCTCAGGTCTATCCCCGAACACTCTCAGGGTGTCCACCGAGCACTTCAGGGATGTCCACCGAGCGCTCGGGGAATGTGCTAGGGTGCTCGTGGCACCCTCCGAGCGCTCCGAAGACGTCCACGGAACGCTCCGTATTAGAATTTAGGTACTATTTTTTTGAAGGTTTTCCATTGGCCCCGAGTTCCAACGTAAGGGTCCCACAAGTATTTAGGAGGCTTAGATCACTATGGCCCCGCCGGAATGCGAGCGGAATGGCCCGGAATAACATTTTTACCCTTTTTAGCCCTAAAATGGATGACCTTGAACCAAGTTGTCTTATTTTATTTACAAATGAATCTAAGTGACTAGATATGACCTAGATGACAGTTGTAAGGTTCCCAATGTGTTGCATGGTCCAAAAAGATCAAATTACCCTTATAACCTTAAGTGGACCAATTTGAGGACGGGGTTGATTCTTTCACCCAAGGGAGGAACTAGTAATGGGCTAACCTGGGCTATAACCCAAGTCCAATTGAAAAAAAAAAATTAGTATTATTGTTCCTATAAGCCTATGTACTATTATTCCTCTTCCTATCAGCCCAGCCCAATCTATAGTATTTCTATAAATAAAAAGAGTTATAAAATTTACGAAGGTCAAGCCTTAAATATGAGCAAGCCCATGAACCATGAACATGTCCGATCACAAAATAAACCATAATAAAATATAATAGGCCCATCCCATTAAATCAAGCACATTATTAGTCTATGTAAGAAGACCTAAACTCTTCGTGTGTAAGGTACTAAGCCATATGTGGATGGATATCATGGATTATTATTGTTAATCCAGTGAAATATTGAATTTTATTTTTGCAAAAAAAAAAAAAAAAAAAAAAAAAAAAAAAAAAAAAAAAAAAAGGGGGAAGGGGGTGGCTTTGTTGATAACTTGATAATTTCTTGTTAAATTGGGTAATTTATTATATAATGGATTAATAACTAGTCAGGGGCAGAGCACATAAGTCTTACTTTCTAATGCAAATTTATTGATAAGGAACATATATATATATCTTACATTCTTGTAGTT